TCACAGGCGTATGTTGCAATGGGAAAGATGCATGCTCTTACAAATCTGACATTTGTAATTCTATCTGTACAATTCCATAATTTATTCAGTTGTTTAAGTCTTTGAAGAGCAATTGATAGTCGCCGTTTAATTTCTTTCATTGTGTCACCATTGTTGGTAACCAGTGACCCAAGATATTCGAAATTTTCCACCACTTCCAATCTTTCCTCATTAACATATATTTCCTTCTCCATGGCAGTTTTGTTTGTATGCATTATCTTTGTTTTTGCTATGTTAAGAAATAAGTTATGATTTTCACTATTTCTTTGGAGTGAGGTTAATAAGTTTTCTAAACCATTTTGTGATGTTGATAGTAATACTGTATCATCAGCATAACGAATTTCTGGTATTTCATGACCACCGATGTTTAGGGCATCATATTGTTCCTTGTTTATATCATCTCTTACATTTCTCATTATATTTTCGGCGTACAGGTTGAACAAATACGGTGACAGCACACATCCCTGACGGACTCCTTGCTTGATGTCAAACCAGTCTGATGTCTCTCCGTCTATTCTGACTGCTGCTTGTTGGTCTTGATAGAGCATTTTAATGAGCTGCACTATATGTGATGGAAAGCCCATATTCCTCATGATTTCCCAAAGCTTCTGATGTTGTACACAGTCAAATGCTTTTGAATAATCCACAAAACATAAGAACAGATTTACATTAAATTCTCTACACTTCTCTATTATTAAACGCATGTTGAATATATGATCTCTTGTTCCTCTTCCCTGTCTAAATCCAGCCTGAGCTACATTAATCTCTTCTTCCATTTTCTTATGCAGTCTTCTCATTATAATTTTTAGTAGAATTTTACTTGCATGACTGATCAGGGCAATAGTTCGATAGTTACATTTATTTAGATGTTGAAAATACATATTGTGATCATTCTGATATCCCCTCAGTGATGACACCAGGTGCAGATTGCACTCCCCCGCATGCCCCTTCCTACGTCTGTGTTCATATATATATATACTTAGGTAGGTGCTTTGCTGGAAAAAAAATCGCTACGTTATAAGCGCCACATTGAATGGTTTAACACTGTACGCCACCAAGAGCACTGAAAAGTACTCCTGCTGTGTTGATGCGATCAAATGAGACAGACTCAAATACTGTACTGATCGGGCGACAAAGTCGTCTACCGGCCAGCCAGTGAGGGCCGAATCCGCATTTTAATGAAAATTACCCCCAAAAAAACTTTGGGTCGTAGGTCGACTCAGCCTTAAGTCATACTGGAAAGTAAATACGGCTGGTGTAATGTTACCCACATCATTCACTGCATTCCTATTAGTGAATGAACATAACTAGTCTGGCTTCGTATGCTCAGTCTGTCATGGAAGTGAAGATGAGTCTCCTACTTTTCTTATTTCACACTAAAACCGGCCTTTGGCTGCAGCGAGTCGCAACTAGATTTGAAAGCGAGTCTTCTATCGACTGCGCTAACGTGGCCCACATCGCTACTCTTATATATTTGCTGCTCGATATTGATCAATAAAAATGTTACTAGACTCTGAAGCGTTACTGTATGTAATTACATCAGCTTTGCTTTCATATCGCTGCTCTTATACATTTGCTGCGTTGTACAAGATGTATAGGGGATCACTGGATGCCGCCACTAAGCGCATTTATGGATGACACGACTATAATCACGGGCAGCTAGGAATCTGCCCGCACGAAGTTAGTCTACGAAGTGATGATGACTGCAGTGGAGACGATGGAGAAAAAACTCAACACAGACTTAAGAAAGTGGATTGGTGCGCCGCCTTGTCTGACCGACGTGGCTCTGTATTGCAAGCAGGCTAAGCCGGTACTCCTGTTCAAATCGATAACCGAAGAGTTTAAAGTCGGCAAAGTAAGACTCGCCATGCTCTTGCTCGAGTCTTCAGACCCAAATGTCATCGCTGTCCAGCCCGCTCTAAAGACTGGTCAGAAGTGGAGAGTCCTCGATGCGATCGAATCTGTCCAGAATGCACTAAAATTGAGGGAGATAATGGGATACACTCAAACCGACCGTCGAGGCCTAGGTCACGGAAAGGTCAGTTGATGGTCTAAAGACACAACCAAAGAGCGCCGAGACATGGTAATACAGCAAGTTTGGGACAACGAAAACGAGGTTCGGGTCCAGAAAGCAGCCCAGCAGTCGCAGCAGGGCCATTGGGTCAGCCTGAAGAGCGCATTGCCAAGAGTACTCACATGGGGTGAGATCTGGCGAATGACTCCGCTGCGACTGAGCTTTATCGTTCGTTCGTTGCCTACTGTGCAGAGCGAAGCAGACGTTAGAACACGTTCTGTCCGCATGCAGAAAAGCACTTGGTCAAGGCCGATACACCTGGCGCCACAACAAGGTGCTAAAAGAGTTGGCAGCTTTTGTGGACCAGGCTAGGATGCGGGCAAATGAGAGGGCCAGTCCTACCGTCGTCCCCATACGCTTCCTCAAGGCTGGGCAGATTAAAAAAGGTAAGGTCAACCGAAACGCATTCGCTTCATCTTTGCTAGACTCTGCGAGGGACTGGTTACTGGTGGTTAATCTGCTAGGCCATGAAAGGTACCCTGAGTCAATTCGGAAGACCAGCATGTGACCTGATATAGTTCTCCACTCTGCGGAGAAACTGCAGCTCATCCTGATTGAGCTGACCGTCCCGTATGAGTCGCGAATGGACGAAAGCCATATGTATAAGCTCGAGAAATACAGTGACTTAACAGCCGATCTGAGGAGAGACGAGACGTACACTGTACGAGTCTTTACCGTCGAAGTGGGAGCGAGAGGTCTCGTTTCCACTTCACTCTACAATGTGGTTAAAGAACTAGGATTGCGCTGTAATGAACGCAAACGGACACTTAAACAGCTGGGCGAGGTTGCTGAGAGGGCCTCGACCTGGCTCTGGACACAACGAAACAACGTAGGGGACGGGCCTCGGTGAGTTGGTCTGGGTGTCTAGCGGAAAAGAATTTCTCATCCCTTGAAAGTCCATCGTGTCCGAATTGTCTGCTAGTGTTCCTCTGCCACCTGCTAGCAAAAGTCCAACATGTGTCCGGTATACCAATCGTATGCTTGCCGCTCGGTCGTTCATGTATGCAGATTGCTCTAATTATGCTACCGCGACGACTTCTTATCTTACAGTACCTTGTGCAAAATCACCAATTCGTCTTGTCCCTATCCGAACAACATCCGGTAATTTCGTGCAGCAGGGGAAACCAACCATGAGCTTCATGAACTCAAGTGGGCCCACTCTCTGAAAATGTCTAGGAGCTCGTGGGCCGAGATATTTGTCGACGAGAGATTACTTCTACTGATGATTGGTAGACCCCTGCTGTACATGCTCCCCTGTGGAGTTTATTCTTATTATATTTTTTTTATCACTAGCAAAACAAAAATGCATTCAACCATAATAGTTGGACCATGCATAAAAATTGATCTAAGTAAATAAACTAGCCGCATATATCTTGAAAACTTGACCGTTTCAACATTTTTAATGGGTTTTTTCGTATTCAGCACACCAAATTTATTCGTCAACTATTTTCATTTTTTGGTGCATTAGATTGCTGGCTAATGATACCCATGCTACGCACTCAGCGCTAGAAGCTGTAACTTGTCAGCCATTCTGCCTCACACACAAAAATACATGAAATGACCCCCGAAAAAAAACACACAAAAAAAACGTCCATCTTGTAGTCAGCTTAAAGTGAACGCATTGTCGACAAACAATGTCACTGAAGTTCAGAGTTTGCATGTCTAGACGGAAGCATGTATACAAACACCTACAGATGTATAGAAAAGGTTAGTATGACAAAGAGGATGCAGCACAACATGCTCAAAGTTGACATCTAGAAGGTGTCGGTAACAGCACCAGGTTTTCTCCTGAGTAAATAAATCTGGCGTCCTTTGTTTGACAGCCAATTCGTTTAAGTTTGCCAGCAAAAGTATAACTTTCAACTAGCCAGACTATGTCTTACTTAGAATGTGTGTTAAACAGGACACAGGGCATTGAGAAATAGTTTATTTGCAGTAGCTCTAGTAATCGCGAACTTAAAAATGTTTGTCATGCTATAAACGGCATGTGAATTATCCTGTCCGGTAGGTTAAGTTATTTGCTCAACCTTTACAAGACGCACGCCTGCATTTTATAGGTTCAGTGGTTTTCTAGGCACATTTTACGTCCAGTAGTTTGACATTGCCTATTAAACGGTCGGCTTTTGGTACCACTGTCGAAACCAGCACAAGACAAATTGTCCGCTGCTGGGATTGAACCCGGCACCCCAGCATTACTAAGCGCCTTTGCAACGCCTAAGCCGCAGGCCCCAACTGCAGGTACCAGCTAAAAAAAAAAAAAAATGGTTTCAGCCCAGTTACACATCATCATCATCTCACACCACATTCTAGGTTAGTGGGTCAAGATTCGGGTGTCAATATTTATAAATAGCCACATGTCCACAAAAAATAATGCTAGGGTTAGTTCTGTGATGTCCTAAAACGGATACGCTGACCTGCCTAACCACTTACCTGCTTGTCATCTCTCTCTCTCTCTCTCTCTCTCTCTCTCTCTCTCTCTCTCTCTCTCTCTCTCTGTCACTCTCTCTAGACGCCCGTCTGGGAAGGTTGTGGGTTCGCGTCCTGATGGAGCCAGACTTTCTTCAAAAATGGCCTTGACTTCCAGGTCGAACCAGTAATGAGTGGGTACCAGGTACAGTCCTGGGAAGTAAAGGCGGCCGGCGTGATGCTGACCACATCACCCACCAAGTGCTGATTGGTCTATAAAAAAATAAGTCTAGCCCTATATTCCCTATACGCCTGAAGGTGTGGAAAAGGGACCTTTACTTGACTATAAATACATACATTGATAGTATATATATATATATATATATATATATATATATATATATATATATATATATATATAGCGTCCGCCTCCTAAGTATGTCAAATGTCCAATTAACGACTTCTAATATCATAACCTCACCTGTAAAACGGTCCCTTCCAACAGTTCGGCAACAAATGCAACTCCCACGCCCAGACAGCCATAGCCAATTACTGAGGAAAGAAAATATATCAGTCACTGACATGTACTTACGTTAACAGATACACATAAAGAACATAAGGAAAGGAGCGCCAACCCACACACAATCCCACCCTCTTTAAACAGAGCATATTATTATATAGCAAAACGAAGAAACACATTTTTAAAGCATCTATCTAGCATTTGTTTTTTCCTTCTCCACTTATCTACATTTTTTAAAGGAATAGAAACTGAACAAGTGATAATTTCTTCTTATTTTTCTCCGGCATTATTCTTCTTTACAATTAATATAATAATACACTGGGATATAAATTTACTGAGCTGTAGATGGAAATTATCGCTGCCCTACTCAATATGTTTGGCCTTTTTGCAATTTGCATACACGATGCCACATTTTTTCATTCGATCGATTTTATTCGTGGGAAATAAACATTTTTAACTTGCTCCTCGTTCAACTGGTTAGATGCCAGTTGGGGTTTTTTACGCGTTTTATTTAGAAAGTAATAAACCAGATCAGTAAAACCAACGTGCAATCAAAACTCATATTCTTGAAAAAAAAAAAAAATCCAGAAGTGAGCGATCTGCCACAACTTTAGCGTTTGCAGCCACTGCACGCAAAAAAAGATGAATTTCAAGGTTAGCATTCAAATCCAAACATTTAGCGAGGGTATTATGAGCCCAAGCCAAAGAGCATGGGTGGGGAACTTTCTTTCTTTCTTTCTTTCTTAAATCAAGGGGTTTTGGATATTTATGCTAACTTTCGCAGGCAATACAGGATTATCAGTGTCAAAATTAGTTTAGTTCATGTGGTTGTCTTTGTACGATTAGACTTATTTATTTCACAGATCTGTCATACCGTTGCGGTCGTTATTTCCCAACCGTGTTATGGAGTATGAAGGGCAGCCATGTTTGATAGAACAGAACTGCACACTTATTAACAGCCACATCTTACTGTCTATTGTAGCAAATGTGTCTCGCATTATGTATGTGTACTCGAATCAATTGATTTGTCATCTATTGATAACATCTATATAAGCACCCGTACCTCTACCCTGATTTAACTGTTGATTACAAGTTTCTTTCACAAACTCTGCTGTCTTGTCAGTTGAGCTTTCCAGTCACAGTTTATGTTATTTACCATTCTTAGTGACATTATCTATTTCCATAGCTTACTTGCTTTGTCAACAATGGATCTGTAATCCCATAATCTAATTGTGGACGCCTTTTCTTAACGCGAGCAGGTCTTCTTAGTCATTTGCCATCGCTGTGGGCTGCTAGACTCACGCCTTCCTTTAGTACAAATTACACTACTGTTTGCAAAAATGGAACTTCCCGTCTTAACTGGTGTACTTAGTGACTGCAAAATGTTTTACTTTAAAGTTATTTTTGTTCCGACAGTGCTTTGCTAATGCTCTTTCCACATATGGACGCACGTCTACGGTTTGCCGTCTGAGCTAGTGAGTTATGTGCTTGGTGTAGCCCCGTGAGCTGTGTTTTTATGTGAAATGCTATACATATGTGTAGCGGCTGTATCCTGGTACTGAATATGGCCAAACGTCGGCTTACGAATGGGATGGGGAAGTGCCTTATGTTACAATTTTCTCTTCCAACGGTGAAAGCGGGAGTCGCCGTGGCGTTGGCGGCTAGACGCCTGCCTGCGGATCGGAAGCTCTGAACTGACGGAGCTAGACTTTGTTTTTAATGACTTTGACTCCAAGGTCGAACCAGACTTGAGTGTGTACCAGGTGCGGTCCTGGGAAGTAAAGGCGACCGGCGTGATGCTGACCACTTCACCCACCAAGTGCCGACTGGTCTATAAAATATAGCTCTAGCCCATTATTCCCAACACGCCTAAAGGGGTGGAAAAGGGACCTTTACTTTACTTCACGAAAGGTGAAAGTTCTGAAAAAATTTTTTTTTTCAAAATGGAGCAAGCAAATATAAAATTTAATTCTCAAGGTTTGCTGCTACATCTGTTTTTACTTGGCACTTTGTATATATGTGTGTTTTTTTTTTTTAAATAATGACAAGGTGATTTTAGTGCAACGTGACCTATAAAATCTTTCGCATCCCTAACAGGTGATCTGCCTCGAGATTACATTAGCTGTGGCCCTACTGAAACAAAGAGAATTGCGTTAATAGTGATGCATGTTGTTTCAGATCACTAATACGACACCTTGTAATTGTGTTTGATGCATGAAATCTAAATGCACACGTTGATCTCAGTCGCAAGTGCTGATATTCTATCAGAGATTCCATCTAAGCGATGAGAAAGATTAGGTGAGTCTCTAGAGATGGGGACAGATGGAAGAGTGGGTTGGAAATAAAATTAGAATAGGTCGCATTATATGGAAATAACCTATCTTTTACATAGGTTCTGAAGAGGCTAGCAATGAAGAGAGATTTGCTGAAGGAAATAGGAAATTAAATATGATATATATATATATATTGAGAGAGAGTGAGACAGAGAGAGAGAGAGAAAGAGAAAGAGAAAGAGAGAGAGAGAGAGAGAGAGAGAGAGAGAGAGAGAGAGAGAGAGAGAGAAAGAGATGTCAAATATTTAGGCCAGATTAAAGGACATAATCTCTTTTAAAAATCAGACTGGAGAGAAAGGTTAAAGGGAACTAAACAAGAAGCAGATTTTGAAACAAGTGTGAACGTAACATATTTTATCCTATCCTTAACAATGACACCTACTTACCCTTTCCAACCTAACTACAAATTTTCTTCTTTGTCATTCTTTATATATATATATATATATATATATATATATATATATATATATATATATATATATATATATATATATATACTAGCTGTACCCGGCCATGCGTTGCTGTTGCATAGTTTGGCTAAATGGAAATGAAAGAAAATAGAAATCGCACGTGTCTAATACAATAATTGTCTGCTCAGATATAGAGATAGTCTTTGATCCGCTCCCCCCCCCCAACACCTTCCCCCCCCCCCCCACAACTAAATCCACCTACTACCCTCTCCCTCATCAAAGGTTTTTGGAAAAGAAAGACAATGGAAATCGCCCCTGTCTAATATAGTTAATGTCGCAATCATTCTCTGCACATTTATATAGAGATAGTCTGGTTTTCCAACTTTAGAACACGCACCATATAACTGTGTCTTTATATTAGTGGTCGATTAAATGGTGCTATTAGCACAGTAACAAAAGTGGTTATTTGGTTATCCCATGCTAAAGCTGTTTGTATTTTTATAGGAGAAGTAAGTAAAGCTACTATTGTACTTGTAAATAACAAAGTAAGTAGTACACAAATTAGAATAGTGAAGGTAGCGTTAGTAAAATATAAACAATTTAAGTAGGTAATGAGAACTTAAAAATCATGTGTAAAGCTCTTCAAGTTCTCTTAAATTTCAGTCATTACCCTCTCCCCTCCAGTCTTCCACCGACTACTGCTCTCTCCCTCTTCGAAGGATTGAAAAATCATCACCTGGCGGTATTCTTTTTGTTGTAACTGACATTGACATCCCTGTCCATCCGGACTAAATTGGGAGCAGGAATTGTAATAGGTAGTGAATGGGGATAATGTAATATTTACCGCATCATCCTTTAAGTACCAGTACAACTACAACGACCAACACCACAATAGCTAAAATAATGTCACTGCTATCTGTTTTACCATCGGAGTAGACAGGGAGTCGTGAGCCAGAAGATTTGGCGCCGCATGGCTAGTGCTGTCGCCACGGACTGGTCAGGTTAGGATGTATGATTTCGCTCCCCGACAGAAGAATGCCATAACCTTACCGGCGGTCTTCACATGAGAGCACTACGGTGTAACCGCCCAACCACAACTACTACTGCTGCTGCTACTTTGATGAGTGGGTAAAGCAGTTACTGTGACTTAAAGCTCTCTCAGTAATCAGTTTGGCCCCCCCCCCCCCCCCCCAAATATACCGACTACTCTTTCCCTCATCGAAGTAGTTGAGAGGGGGAAAAAACCAATTGAAAAGCAATTAAAGCAGGAAAAATACACCAGAATTAGAAAATGAACGCTATGGTAAACAGCACAGTTTAAAATTCCAACGCAGATGAAATAATTAAATCTAACTGAAAATCAATGGAAAGCTATGAAATTTCAGCGTAACCATGCAATCGAAAAGTTTAAAATGAAATCATATGTGAAATGGTCAAATTTAATTATCAACTGGTTTACCCACAAACCTGTCCTTGTTTTTTTTTTTTTTTAAATATATATCATTAAGGGCCATATGGCTAGTGCTGTCGCCACGACAGTGCAGGTGAGGATTTTATTTTAGCCCTAAGTAAAAAAAACAAAAACAAAACTACTGCGGATTCGAAATCTGGTCTCCCTTTCAAGAGCCGAGTGTTCTAACCATTCGACCACTCGATCAGAGCAACGACAAGAGAACATAACTATTTTAGATGTGTGTCCCTACTGCAGTGTCCCTATTATAAGACAACTCAAAACAGCAGGCAATTGTTTTCTCATAGACAGATATTCTAAATATATTAATGAAACGGCACAACAACAAAAAATCACACGTGTCTAACACGGTTAATGTCGCAGTCAATGTCTGCGCAGACGTCGAGATAGTCCCTGATGCCCCCCTCCTCCCCCTTTTTTTCCCTACCAATCAATCGGCTACTTTTCAACTCATCGAAGAATGTTTGAAAAAAAAATAGAAATCGTGTCTAATATAGTTATTGTGGCAATCATTGCCTGCACAGATATAGATATAGTCTTGTTTGCTGTACCACGACCTACTCTATGTATTAGAGGAGGTGTTGGCTGCACGGCGCATGCGCAATTACTAACGTGGCTATAATTAGAAATCACTAAAATTATAAATATTAGTTTCGAATATTATGGCATAAATTGTGGTCACCTATCTCTAACAGTGACAGGTTGAATTTCAAACCATGATGGTTCAACATTCGGTATCAAAACAAACATATCCTGAAAATTTCAGCTAAATCGGTTCAGTAGTTTCCGAGTCTATAGGGGGCAAACAAACACACAAACATTGATTTTTATATATATAGATATAGGAGGGGCAGGGGCCGACCGACACGAAGATGGGCTCAGGATATAAGTGACTCCTTGAGTGGGAAAGTTCATGAGGAGGGAGAACTGGCAAGAGACCGAGTTTCAAAGGACCTGCTACATGATGATGATGACATATGTGTGTGTGTATATATATATATATATATATAAAGAGCTATCATCAAGTGCCTTGCAAGGAGTCGTAGCCGTTCATGCATCTCCACAGATATCGGTCTTTTTTGTTCTGGATAAATTTCACTGATGATATTCCTCCATGCCACTGTCTTAAGCCATTCTCTTAGCCCACCTCTGCATCTTCTGTCACTGATCTTTTCAGTCATTATTTTCCTGTGCTCTTTTTTTTCATCACATGACCAGAGAACTTTGTTTGTCTCCTTCTCATTGTTGTATACAATGTTCTACTTTCATTATCCATTTCCAGGCAATCATTGTTAGTTACTATTGCAGTCCAATGTATTAGCAACATTCTTCTCAAGAACGACAACTCAGTTGCCTCCAAACTCTTCTTAATTTATTTGCTCACATTCCAAGATTCACGACCATACAATAGAACAGGCTCGATATAGAATTTCAGTTGTCCAAGAGTTGGCAAGAATAATCTCCCCCTCGTATTTATATTTGTCGCTAAAGGCTGGTGCCGAAAGGTCTGGCTGTTCGTGTGTATGTGGTTGTTTCCTCTTTCCACGGGGTTAAGCATCTTAGTCACAGCTTAATTGATTTTACTTCTAGTTGGACAAAAGACATAATCCTCCTTTAAAAGCCAGACTAGAGAGAAAGGTTGAAGGCAAATGAACAAGAGACGGGCAGTGAAACAAGTGGGAGTATAACATAAAGAGATGGACGAACGTTTCACCATAATGACAACTGTAGCAACTGGTGCTACTTCCTGGCGTTTGTCATATTGTTTCTATGCCTTAAACACAGCAGACTCCGTGGCCAAGTGTGGAAGCCTTTTCCTAGCGCTCTGAATGAAGATCACAGACACGTCGTTCAGTTCACAAGTGCAATATTTTCAGACTCCTCGGGATCGTTGCCGTAGCTACGGTATCCGTTTTTCTGTGCGACGCTATCTCTCTCTCTCTTTCTCTTTCTCTTTTTCTTTCTCTCTCTCTCTATCTATCTCTCTATCTCTCTATCTCTCTATCTCTCTATCTATCTATCTATCTATCTATCTATCTATCTATCTATCTATCTATCTATCTATCTATCTATCTATCTATCTATCTATCTATCTATCTATCTATCTATCTATCTATCTATCTATCTATCTATCTATCTATCTATCTATCTATCTATCTATCTATCTATCTATCTATCTATCTATCTATCTATCTATCTATCTATCTATCTATCTATCTATCTATCTATCTATCTATCTATCTATCTATCTATCTATCTATCTATCTATCTATCTATCTATCTATCTATCTATCTATCTATCTATCTATCTATCTATCTATCTATCTATCTATCTATCTATCTATCTATCTATCTATCTATCTATCTATCTATCTATCTATCTATCTATCTATCTATCTATCTATCTATCTATCTATCTATCTATCTATCTATCTATCTATCTATCTATCTATCTATCTATCTATCTATCTATCTATCTATCTATCTATCTATCTATCTATCTATCTATCTATCTATCTATCTATCTATCTATCTATCTATCTATCTATCTATCTATCTATCTATCTATCTATCTATCTATCTATCTATCTATCTATCTATCTATCTATCTATCTATCTATCTATCTATCTATCTATCTATCTATCTATCTATCTATCTTTCTTTCTTTCTCTCTCTTTCGGCAGGCGTATAGATGTTCTGCCGATAGAGACCAAGCCATGTGTTTTAAAACGCTATGCATTGAGTCGATCCTCTCAACTTTAACCTTTAACCTTTCAACCTTTAAAAAACCCCACCCACCCACATGGGACAGGAAGTAACTTCATACTGTACGGTGCCGCAGTATAACTGTTTTATATATGGATCACTGGGACACTGGCATTTGTTCAAGCTGCTTTTCATCGGAATTGTGACTCTTTCAGAGCCTGGATATCAATTTTCATCTGGCAGTCCTGAAGGACAAGAGATAATTAAGGGGGGGGGGTGCAAACAAATTAAACGTAAATATGCAATGTTAGTATAGGTCGTTAGTCGAGGTACCAGCATGACTAGAGACGCGCTAGCCACCCCAAAAGTGATCACTTTCTGTAACAGCGGAAATCATGCCGAATGTCCTCCACTGTCTCATTCGAAAACTAGTGACAAACCTGCGAGTTCCAATAACATCTTGAAGTCTCAACACGTAAAACTAAAAATGTATAATGTAATCTGTCAGATGTGCCAACACTAACAGTGCCATACCAGCATTGCAGCTTACTGTTGCAGCAAACGGTCAATCGCGAAAGCCAGAACACTTAGAGTACAAACTAATAGATGCTCGTATACATATTATCACTTTGCCAATGTTGTGACTGTATGCTTAAGTCGCCATCCAACACCCCCCCCCCCACCCCACCCCCCCCCCCCACACCCGCGTATTGCGCTATTTTGTCCCATTGTTTTCTTAAATGGAGGGCAGACGTTACACACAAAAGCAAAGTAAACTAAAAGGTTGATTTCTCCGAAGAGCTGTACTGAATTAGTTGTTACTAAAATGGGTATACAGGGTATGTCGATTCTTAAATCAGTAATTAGCAAATTCTTCAAAAAATTACCCTAAACAGTAGGCAAGACTTACAAACACAACCTCTTACCTAACAAGTAACCAAGACAGAAAGACAGGGGCGGCCTGTTACCTAACAAGTAACTAAAACACATGGACAGACACAACCTGTTACCTAACAAGTAACTAAAACACATGGACAGACACAACCTATTACCTAAAAAGTAATCAAGACTGACCGACAGACACAGCCTGCTACCTAACAAGTAACCAAGATTCACGGACAGACACAACCTGTTACCTAACAAGTAAACAAGACTCGAGAACAGTCACAACCTGTAACCTAACAAGTAACTAAAACACATGGACAGACACAACATGTTACCTAACAAGTAACCAAAACACATGGACAGTCACAACCTGTTAACTAACAAGTAACTAAAACACATGGACAGTCACAACCTGTAACCTAACAAGTAACTAAAACACATGGACAGTCACAACCTGTTACATAACAAGTAACTAAAACACATGGACAGACACAACCTGTTACCTAACAAGTAACTAAAACACGCGGACAGTCACAACCTGTTACCTAACAAGTAACTAAAACACATGGACAGACACAACCTGTTACATAACAAGTAATCAAGATTCACGGACAGACACAACCTGTTACCTAACAAGGGTGTTGTGTTGTGTTGTGATCGCCCATCACGAGGGATGAAGACTACTTTCCTCCAAAGTAGTAATGATCAATGATTATGAGTACGAATGTGGCTCATTAGTTCAATATGAGCCCTAAAGTGACTTGCGCAAAAACTTTGATTTAAGTAAGGAAGAGTTGCGCAATTTAACCCCATGGCTCGACTCTGTCCATCTTGATCCAATGGTAGGAAAATGTCGAGACGATTGGAAATGGACCCAGGCGAGTGAATGAAGGCGTCTTACGTGCCCTGCCTTGCTAGCTCTCCACAGAGCCTGCTGATAGTCCTCCTTCTTGTCCATATGTTGTCCGCACAAACCTCCGAGTCTAGTCTATGCATGCAGTGCAGGCTGATCCGAATCACCGAGTGCTTTAGAACCAGGTCGGCTACCCTCTTCTGGTTTAGCCAGCACGTCAAAGCTGTTGTCAGGGGGAGGGGGGGGGGGAGGAGGAGATGGCAGCTGCCGTTTCCAAACAAGTAACAAAGACTCACTGAGAGACACAACCAGCAACCAAAGAAACCAGGACTAAAAGACAAATACAACCTGTTACCTACAAGTAACCACGGCTCAGAGACAGATACAACCTGTTACTATACAATTAACAAAGACTCACAAACGGACACAACATGTTACCTAATAAGTAATCAAGACCAAGACAGACCTAACATATTACCTAGGGAGTAACCAAGACCCACAAACAGACCCGACTTATTACCTAACAAGTAACCAAAACTCACAGACAAAATATGTTATTCAACAAGCAACCGAAACTCACAGCTAAACACAACATGTTACCTAATAGGTAATCACCACAAAGACAGACCTAACATGTTACCTAGTGAGTAACCAAGACTCACAGACAGACCCAACCTGTTAACTAACAAGTAACCAAGACTAACAGCCAAACACAACATGTTACCTAACAACTTGGTGCAAACAGTTTTCTTATATTCTGACCATCCTTTGTCAAAGTGAGGTTTGAGGATATCCTCCCATGTGATCGCTGATAAGGCACTCAGGGACGACGACACTGAACTGGTATTGAAATAAATGCACCTGGCATTAACCCACGAAAAGCAATGTTTATTTTTTTAGTGGGACATGATCTGACAGTGTTATAACTTAAAAACTATATTACAGTAAAATAGTATTACCACAACGTTCCTTTACTCTAAGAACTCTTGGTTAACATAAATACAGTTTTGGTCTCAGCGAGGATATGTAGGTGCTGTTATGTCAGGTTGACATTTTTTTTTTCCGCGCGCCCAATTCGCAGTCCTGTGCAATTCGTTTTATTGAGTTTTTACTTCTTCTTCTTCTGTTCTCCATTTCTAGAATGCCTTGCAGCGTCACGGTAGGAAGAGATCTCTAGAATGGGCGCTTCTGTCCGCTTCGATGTCTCTGATATTTCCGCGGTCCGTATCCTGCGTGGGCGTCCTCTGGCCCAGTTACCGCTGTGTCTGTATAACACTGCACGCTGAAGTGCACTGTCTGATGCCAATCTTGTGGCATGGTCAAATCATTTGATTTTTTCTCTACCGATAAAGTTTAGCATTTGTTCTGTGCCGACTCCCCCACTGATATCATAGCCTCTAAGTCGATCTTTCTTCGTTACACCTAGCACACCTAGCACAGTACGTTAACATTTCATTTATGGCGCAATTCTTTCCTTGAGTGTTCTGAAGACAGTGTCCATGTTTGACAAATGTTAAATTAGGAATCGAAATCATAGCACTCGAGACACCCCCATAAGCGCTCCGTCCCCATCTACTTTTGTTTATTGGGTTTGATTTAAAGCTAATATTCTACATGTCCTGTTGTCTTTACTGCAATCCCTTCAAATTTATTACATAAAATAATAAAGCATGTTTGCAAAAATAATAAACAATTTAGTAACTAATTACAACTTAAAACATTACACCCTGTGATTTCCCAAACAGAAAAATTATTAATTATGTCATCAAATGTATACTGTGTAATAAATGGGAATTGTTAGAGGCCCCTGCAGATTGTGAGGCCCTAAGATGTAGCTTATTTATCTTATACATAAGTATGAGACTGATCATGTGTTTACCTGAGGGCACCAGAGAACAGACAGGCAACAAAGAGGCCAGGCACGCCGGGATAGCGCAGTGTTTCCATCACGAAGTATGGGACCAGCTGTCCATAGAAAAGTTATACATATTTTTAAAAAAGATACAATAGATTAATCGGCACTCATAGAAAGAAGTAGAAAAATAGAAGGACACACGAGACATAAAAATTGAAAGCTATTGTTACCCTCCTTGGAATCGAACTTGTCACCTCCAAATGACGTGTGAGCCTCACTATAGAAACAGGTGTACTAAGAGCATGATAAACTAGGCACTAGGCAGTAGACAAAATTGAATTCCTTACACAAAAGTCATTTATTTAAAGGAAATAAATATTTAACGCTAGGGTCATTCATTCATTCAGTAGCATGTCCCTCGCGGAACCTCGCTGCCATAACAACCTTCCGGAAAACCTTCCTATCCTGAGCAAGATGTCCTGCGTCTGATACACCCATCTGGAGATTATCTGCCACATCCTGCACCCATCTTCTCCTTGGCCTTCCTCTTCCTCTCTTCCCAGGCATATACCCCTCCATTATTGTTCTCTCTAGACTTCCATGACGTTTCAAGTGACCAAAATATTTCAATTTTCTTTGTTTTATTGTCTTTACTAGCCAACCCTCTTCAATATTCAGCTCTTGAAGTATGGATGCATTTGTTCTTTTCCTTACCTAAGATATTCTTAGAACCTGTCTGTAACATTTATATTCAAATGCATTTATGCGCTGTTCCGCTTGTTTAGTAAGTGTCCAGGTCTCACAGGCGTATGTTGCAATGGGAAAGATGCATGCTCTTAAAAATCTGACGCTAGGGTAGAAAGTAGAATGTTTGCGTGTGTGCTTTTAACTTGATGAATATAACATGCTTTAAAGAAAACAAACAACTGGGGTATAAAAGATGCGTGTTTGGTAGTGCTGAATGTAAGATGGGCTTGCTTGCCCAATTTATGACCCAACAAAAATAGAGTTTGTTCGTTCTAGATGTACTGTATATAGTTGTACTCCGCCCAGCTCTCTAGTGTAGTTGGCTAAACCGGATTGCGCGGAGACCGGGTGACGAACTCCTTGTGGTCCGGGTTTACTCCCGGGGGTAGGCAGAAAAGCCACAATTCTCCCAGATTTACGGTATTTAAAATGGAATCAAGGCCGAAGGGTTGCGATATCCATAATACCGAGCCTTAGGGTTAAATGTACTGCTGGTAAGTAACCCGGATGAAGACAGGATGTGACATCTCACATTCCCCTATCACAGTCAGTGAATTGGGAAACTGAATAGCGGTTATTGCACGACATACACCCGTGTAATGTTGTTGGCAAGGTGAAGTAATCACATTACTATCTTATGCCAGTGCCATACATTACACACCTGGTTAGAGTTGTAAAGGTTGACATCCTATTCATACCTAATACCTTTGCCATACAGTTCAAACACTATTACATTTTTTGAAAAGGTGGAAGAATCATATAACTTGTATCACACAGTGCATACCTGGTTCAAATTGTTGACAAGAGTTTTTAAAATTTATATAGACATCTAACATCTGTTTCCAACAATATACACCTGGTCACAGTTGTCGAAAAGGGAAAATAATTATACTACTCGTCAAAAGTCAAGGAGCACATAGAAACACCCTGGTTCAAAACCATAAAACAAAACTGGTCTAATGTTGAATTAGGCGCTCCGTCCCCATCTTCAGCAACCAGCGCAGAATTCCAATTCCAATGATGCTAGTAAAAATCTCATTTTATGTTTCTCAATTTTCCCTTAAGTGTTCCATCATCATTTCCTATTACATCCGAGTGAGACAAGAAGAACGCTACTCCCTCCGAGACCAGACAAGTGGAACACCTTGTACGGAGGAAAAAAACAGCTTGTGAAAACATGCAAATTCCACTACGTGGCATTGGGCCAAAGGGCGAAAGCTCATGCGCCGCTGGATCGATAACAGCAACAACAACAACTATTACATCTGGCTTGTCATGCATCAGTTCACCATTAAGTTATACAGAACCAGACAGTCTATCTGCTTGTTATTTCCTTATTCACCAGAATACCCTGGGGTAAAATATATTACGGACATTAACGACCTCTGAAGCAATGCTTCACGGAATATACCGGTCTCCATCTTTCACTACATGCTTTGTGAGTCTGTTACAATTACGACATGTGTGTACAGCTGATTCTGAAGCTATATGTATAGATAATCACATCACCTGGGCGGGAATATATATATATATATATATATATATATATATATATATATATATATATATATATATATGCTAAATGTGAACAAGACATATTACAAAATGGACATGTAATGTTTAAGCTGTCTGTAACCCGTTGAGGGAGTATGAGGAGAGAATGTTTCTCGGCCTGTAGGTGAACGCTCTGGTTCCGTACAATCTTGCAGTTTAAATGGTTTGACAGGCAAGTCTCGCTGCTTCACATAGCCATCTCTGTCCTACACTCAGCGGCAGGGCCGAATACTTCGGTACTAATAATCTATAATGTACTTACCCATGCTCATGGACGTTCCCGGGTGAATATATGATTCAAACGGAGGTAAGCAGATAGACAGAAATGGCAACAAGCCGTCTGCTCAGTCTAAAAGCTCAGTCAAGAATGAGTCCCGGATCAAATGCGTGACTCCAGCTAGAGGTCGGAGGGGATTGATCCGCGTTCCAAACTGTAGTTAGGCCAATGGAATTTAGCTTCACTATAAGTAAATCTTCCACTTATATGGCTGAATTCGAATATATGTAATTCCCAAGATAATTGGGCTAGAACTGAGTACTTAGCCCGACATCTTGACACATAGGTAAAAAAGAAGGACTATTTACATAATAAGGAATGACTAAAATTTAGAATGAACTAATTTACAAAGAGGTTTATGAGATGCATGCTGGTTCAAGATGAGAGGGGTGTGGGCTGTGATGTGACAGACAGGTCACTGTTCCAAGGCTCAGGGCTGATAGCAAAAGTACCGGTCATCATGTCTATTGGGAATTTAGGTGGTCGGTGGCAATTCTCAACACTTGCTTTGCTATGAAATCTCTCCCGATTTCTTTGGATATTAGAGTGTGACCATGCAATCCATTCAGCAACTTCAAGGATGAATAAAAAATTTTCAACCAATGCTATAGATCTAATTCTTTTCAAGGTTTCAATATTTCTCCTTGATGGCAAGAATTTTGCAAGTGATGAAACAACCCAAGTCTATTGATTATTAAAAACAAAAATTTAGAATGAACTCTGTTTTCAAACAGTTACCACTACAATATCAGTCAGCAAGTTTACTTTACCAGCTTGGTTGAAACAAGTTTTTTTTTAAGGGTTCAAAATGTGAATTTATAGTCAGCAACTGCACATCATCACCTTGAATGTCGATTAGTTGTTTTCATGCTTCAAGTCCATAGAGGACTGTCAAAGAAAGGTACTACAGCCGTTTTTTCAAGCAACTTTCTTCAGTTAATAATTGTATGCGTTTATTTTTTTTAAAAAAAAGTGTACTGACGATAGTAGGATGACCCTTGACTTTTGGCGAAGAGTATATATAATTATATACCACATGGGCCATACGTTACACACCTGATTGGAGTTGTCAACAAGGTCTAAACCTAAAGGGTCACAATCTTTAGCAGCGTAGTATGCGAACAAGACTATGCCTGCCACACAGGTTGAGGTCATCAGAATGATCAAGCCAAACATATTCAGCAGTACAGAGCTGCGGAAACAGAAGGCAACGCTCAGTCAGTCATAAACAACGCTCAGTCAGTCATAAACAACACTCAGTCAGTCAGTTACTGAAGTATATAATTACATTAGACTTGCAGCGAGTTGAATTTGTGGATAGATCTGTTGGTTAATATGTAATACACAGACAAGTCAACTGTTGTGAAACTCTTTGAGTTTAATGGATTGCCAATATAAGAAAGAAACAACCTACATTATGTGGACATGTGATGAGAAAACTGGAATACATCGTGACAGTAGGGAAGCTGGAAGGGAGTAGAGGCAGAGGAACATGGATAGTAAAGATGCTGGATAGTCGGACATCATGGCATAGAGGATCATCTGTGGCAGAGTTGATTGTCAACTACGCGAGACAGAAGGTTGGGAATTGACATGACTACCGATGCCACACGGCATGGACTTTAGGAAGATGAAACCACTGAGGCTATTTGAAGTGTCATAAGTAATAAATTGGTAAGTTTGCTGACAGATTATCCTTAGTGCATAACTGCTCGCATTCCCTCCTCAGTTAATCTCGCAGAATGTAGCGGCGGATGACATCAGTCCTGTGTTGGATTTTTATTCTTCTTTGGCTTCCTGCTTAGTGCTCTTGTCTAGCCACACCCCTTCTAACATACTGTTCTTGCAGTCTTGGCATGGTTGCAAAATCTCAGTCATCACTTGGTTCTGACAAACGTCTTACTTCTCGTAGTGCAATCGGTATATCAGCCCGGCATGTGGTGAGTCGGCCTTTTACGGTAGATCTACCTGCAAGCCTATCAGCTTGCTCATTTCCTTGCACGCCTGTTAGCTCTGACACCAATATAAACTGAAATATGGGGAATGGGAACTCAGATCATGAGCTTGTCATGGTTTTTCTGTCCAGATTATTGGGGTCAGTGAGGTAATGAGCAGGCTTCTGCAGTTTCTCTGGGTGACGAGCTACTTTATGACAAAGGAAATGTGGCACCTCTCTCTGAGACCATGTGGACATTGCATCAGAAGGGGCAGAATATCAGTAGCTGGAGAAACTGGTTTAAATATTTCAAAGACAAATTACACAATATAAACATAAAAAGCTATTGTGGCCAAATAAATGATTCTAATTTTCAACATTCACCTTACGACAAATCCTCAGTTTAAGGAATGTGCGCATCAGGGCATTTCCAGCTACAAGATCTGTTTTATTTTAGCGAGGTCTTTCCTCGGCCTCAGATCACTCCATCTAAGCTAATTCAGGTTGTTAGCGCTCTTACCTGCTATTCAAGTGATCCGAGGTCTATCCCCCAAATCGGCAGGATATTTCCGAACTAGAGTTTGGTTCTCTGGCCTTCAAACTTTATAAATCTGGGACCAGGCAATATTATGATTTATCTGGGAAACAGAGGCGTCGAGGAAGAGTACTGAACACTATCTCACTTATATCTACACATCTCCTTTCTTCTATATTTATCTCTCTTTCTCTCCCTCTCCCTCTCTCTCTTTCTCTCTCTCTCTCTCTCTCTCTCTCTCTCTCTCTCTCTCTCTCTCTCTCTCTCTCTCTCTCCTTCTTTCTCTCGCTATAAATATTTCTATTTATACACAGACACTTATGAGGCCTCACATTTTAGCTTTACTTAGTGAGGGCAGACTGCTGTATCGCTGAACGCTGGCTTGACCAATACCATAGGCTCCCACCCAGCCCATTGCCGAGCCAATGACTAAATTCCAGAATGTATGACGAGTAGTTGGGTTCACATCAAAGCTACGAAAGAAATGATGACATGTTTTATTTAATGTTGTTTATTGGGTTTCGCGCTCTTCGCGGATCGGAAGGTCGGGGCATTCGCTCCCTGGCGGAGCCGGACTTTTTTCAAAAATGACCTTGGCTCCCAGGTCGACCCAGCCTTGAGTGGGTATCGGGTGCAGTCCCGGGAAAGTAACGGCGGCCGGCGTGATGCTGACCACATCACCCATCTTTTGCCGGTTGGTCTATAAAAAATATAGGTCTAGCCCTATATGCCCTATACGCCAGATGGCGTGGAAAAGGGACCTTTCCTTTTTTTTTTAATTTTAACTTATTGGGTTTCGAATTATAAAACACAGAGAGGACAGGTGCATAAGCTTTCTAAAGGTATCGACTTACGACTTAGAAACAAGATTAGAGGGAAAATAAATTCCCCATTAACTGGAAATCATAGTATGCCCTTTAAAAAATTCAAAAAGGAAATCCACACCAACTTTGTGCTCGTTTCTAACATGATAAATATGTAACTGTCTCTGTGTAGTGAACTGGTCATGACCAAATACATGACTTCTGCTGATGAAGTAAGTCAAACAATGGCTCACCTAAAATCTAACTTCTGGATAACCGGCAAGTCAACCAAACATTCCTAGACACAAACATATCAAGTTATAGACTGCTTGCATTATCATTTAATTGTATCCATGGTCATAAATATATTACCACTTTATTAACAGCTAGCGAAACGAAGGCGGCCGTGCCACAACTGATCAATGAAAATTCGCACCCAAGTGACGTTGTTATTATAATTTTATCCCAGTCCAACATGTAGAGTCAAAAAAATATTTGGGCAGTGCTTAAGACAGCGATGGGGAAAAAAGAGCGAGATATTGAACTACGAATAAAAAAGGCAAGATGAGTTTTTATAGCACTAAGAAATATGTGGAAGTCAAAGAGAATTAAAACTAATACTTAATTTGAAAATTTTATTTCTAATGACAAATCATTTCAGTTGTATGGAGCGAAAACCTTGAAAATAAAAACAATAAAAAATAAACTATTCATTAACAAATGCCTGCACAGAACATAGGGAATTCAATGATATGACAAAATCACTAATGTTGATCTTTGCGAAAGAAATGACAGTGAATCAAGTGGTGAAGGCGCTCATGCATATCCACAGATCACGATCCCTGGATGATTGGAACAGCTCTATTGATGATATCCCTCCGTGCCATCGTTTCAGCATGGGACATACGTTGAGAAAACATTAGAACTAAAATATTAGAATAAATATTAGAATGTCTTTGTACAGGAACCCACCGGGACATAGAACTAATTAACAAACGAAGGAACAGATATTTGAAAGGGTTAGAAACTGGGCACAGAGATCACTCTAACATTCTGCAGATGTGCCTCTAACGTTCTGCAGAGGTCCCTTTAACATTCTGCATAGGTCCCTCTAACATTCTCCAGATGTCTCTCTAACATTCTGCAGATGTCCCTCTAACATTCTGCAGAGGTCCCTCTAACATTCTGCAGAGGTCCCTCTAACATTCTCCAGATGTCCCTCTAACATTCTGCAGAGGTCCCTCTAACATTCTCCAGATGTCCCTCTAACATTCTGCAGATGTCCCTCTAACATTCTGCAGAGGTCCCTCTAACATTCTGCAGAGGTCCCTCTAACATTCTGCAGAGGTCCCTCTAACATTCTGCAGATGTCCCTCTAACATTCTCCAGATGTCCCTCTAACATTCTGCAGATGTCCCTCTAACATTCTCCAGATGTCCCTCTAACATTCTCCAGATGTCCCTCTAACATTCTCCAGATGTCCCTCTAACATTCTGCAGATGTCCCTCTAACATTCTCCAGATGTCCCTCTAACATTCTCCAGATGTCCCTCTAACATTCTCCAGATGTCCCTCTAACATTCTCCAGATGTCCCTCTAACATTCTCCAGATGTCTCTCTAACATTCTCCAGATGTCCCTCTAACATTCTGCAGAGGTCCCTCTAACATTCTCCAGATGTCCCTCTAACATTCTGCAGATGTCCCTCTAACATTCTCCAGATGTCCCTCTAACATTCTCCAGATGTCCCTCTAACATTCTGCAGATGTCCCTCTAACATTCTCCAGATGTCCCTCTAACATTCTGCAGATGTCCCTCTAACATTCTCCAGATGTCCCTCTAACATTCTGCAGATGTCCCTCTAACATTCTGCAGAGGTCCCTCTAACATTCTCCAGATGTCCCTCTAACATTCTGCAGATGTCCCTCTAACATTCTGCAGATGTCCCTCTAACATTCTGCAGAGGTCCCTCTAACATTCTGCAGAGGTCCCTCTAACATTACGCTTTTCTAATCTCCGTATTTGCATGCATTATTTCATTCATTCATCTGTTAACAAGTAACAAAACATGATCAACAGCAGCTAAATATTAAACCCAAGCACTGGAATGTCTTTGAATGACACCTACATTTTGTAACCACAGTAAAACCTAGTAGTCATCATCATCACCGTCATCAATTTCCACCTCTGCCGTTAAGCGTTGTGGGGAGGAACAGTTTGTGATCCATTGCTTGATAGACAACAATGGCTATTGGTAAACTATAGTAATTGTAATAAATCTAGGGGCAATTTACGATATTTCTAAAATACTTTTATCTGTAAGGAGGCGTGTAAACTATGCTCATGTAATATAAGAACAATTGTTGATTATTTTTATAGGGTTTGTGATATTTTTAATTTGATGGGGAAAATCATTCTACAGTTTCGCTGTGGAGTACGCTAAGAATTAGTTGGGTGTCTATGCTCCATTGGGGGATAAAGGGCAGAAGAAATCTTCGTTAATGGAAACCCTAAATGTACTACGTTAAATATAATTACTGATTCCAGGGAACGTACTTGAAAAACTTGATCCTGTCCCATCTCTCGTTCACTTCCCATACACGTGATATTCCTCCAACTGAGATAGTGCCCTGCAATGTCAAACATTGGCCAGTGGTAGAGTACAGGACAATTTCTAAAACATTGCCAAACAATAGTGATCAGTGTAGACTGTAATAATACTTTATAAACAGTGTCAAATACCAGTATGGAATATAAGAACAACATCTAAAACAGTGTCAAATACCAGTTACTAATGTGGAATATAAGAACAACCTCTAAAACAGTGTCAAATACCAGTTACCAGTGTAGAATGTAAGAACAACTTGTAAAACAGTGTCAAATACCAGTTACCAGTGTAGAATGTAAGAACAACTTGTAAAACAGTGTCAAATACCAGTTACCAGTGTAGAATTTAAGAACAACTTGTAAAACAGTATCAAATACCAGTTACCAGTGTAGAATGTAAAAACAACTTGTAAAACAGTGTCAAATACCAGTTACCAGTGTAGAATGTAAAAACAACTTGTAAAACAGTGTCAAATACCAGTTACCAGTGTAGAATGTAAGAACAATTTGTAAAACAGTATCAAATACCAGTTACCAGTGTAGCATGGAAGAAAAACGTCTAAAACAGTGTCAAATATCAGTTATGAGTGTAGAATGTAAGTGCAACTTCTACAACTGTGTCAAATACCAGTTACCAGTGTAGTATGAAAGAAAAATGTCTAAAACAGTGTCAAACTATAGTTTACCAACGGCAGAGTGTACAAGACGCTCTCTTGTAGAGTCCCCAAACAATAGTGACCAGCGTAGGCAGTAATACAAGGTCTGACAATTAAGTAATGAGACTGATTTTATTATGGCCAAGACAAAAATGTCATGAATGAATAAAAGCACGGAGTCCAAAGAGGCAACCTTCGTCTATGATCTGGCAACGTTTCATCGTAGCCCAATAGGCAGACAACAAACAAGCCGCCATTTTGGAAACCTAGTCAGAGGTGCATTGTTACGTAATCAGCATGCAGCACACACAAAAAGCTAACATTACATTTTGTTTAAAACTCAGAAAAAGCGCCATTCAGACAGTTGAATTGATGCGACAAGTTTATGGAGATAATTATTTATCTCGTTAACAGATTTTCAGCTGGTATTCAAAAGTGGTGTGGAAATGATTACTAATGCAACTAAACCTGGAAGCGCAATTTCTGTTCGAAATGAGGAACTGATTGCAAAATTCCGAGAACGGATACAAAAAGATCGTTGTTTGACTGTGAGGATGATAGTAGATGAATTTGGTGTTAATACAGAGACTATTCGTAAATTTTAGTAGAAGATTTGGGCAAGAAAAAAAGATGCTTGCCTGTTTGTATTCAACACCTGGCAATTTTTTTCCTTCCCCATGACAACGCACCAGCTTAAAGGGCGGTTGTTGTACAGGAATTTTAAGCCCAAAAACAGATGCTTATTCTCAACCATCCCCCCTATTCCCCATATTTGTCTCTCTGGGATTATTTTCTTTTCCCAAAATTAAAGTTGTCATTCAAAGGACGCTTCTTTGACAATATTGATGGCATTTAAAGTGCCGTAACACCGACTTCAAGGGCCATAACAATAGAAGAACTACGGTGGTCGTTCCAGTGTTTGTTAGATTATGCCACTTACTGTATCAATGCACCAGGGGCTTACTTTGAATAAAATACAGGTTATATCTTCAACTGTTAATTAGTTTAATTTTTATGGAATTAGTCTCATTACTTAATTGTCGGACCTTGTATATGCTAAAAAAAAGTGTCAGATACCAGTTACCAGTGTAGATTGTAAGAACAACTTCTAAAACAGTGTCAGATATCAGTTACCAGTGTAGATTGTAAGAACAACTTCTAAAACAGTGTCAGATATCAGTTACCAGTGTAGATTGTAAGAACAACTTCTAAAACAGTGTCAGATACCAGTTACCAGTGTAGATTGTAAGAACAACTTCTAAAACAGTGTCAGATATCAGTTACCAGTGTAGATTGTAAGAACAACTTCTAAAACAGTGTCAGATACCAGTTACCAGTGTAGATTGTAAGAACAACTTCTAAAACAGTGTCAGATACCAGTTACCAGTGTAGATTGTAAGAACAACTTCTAAAACAGTGTCAGATATCAGTTACCAGTGTAGATTGTAAGAACAACTTCTAAAACAGTGTCAGATACCAGTTACCAGTGTAGATTGTAAGAACAACTTCTAAAACAGTGTCAGATATCAGTTACCAGTGTAGATTGTAAGAACAACTTCTAAAACAGTGTCAGATATCAGTTACCAGTGTAGATTGTAAGAACAACTTCTAAAACAGTGTCAGATATCAGTTACCAGTGTAGATTGTAAGAACAACTTCTAAAACAGTGTCAGATATCAGTTACCAGTGAGGATTGTAAGAACAACTTCTAAAACAGTGTCAGATATCAGTTACCAGTGTAGATTGTAAGAACAACTTCTAAAACAGTGTCAGATATCAGTTACCAGTGTAGATTGTAAGAACAACTTCTAAAACAGTGTCAGATATCAGTTACCAGTGAGGATTGTAAGAACAACTTCTAAAAAAGTGTCAGATACCAGTTACCAGTGTAGATTGTAAGAACAACTTCTAAAACAGTGTCAGATATCAGTTACCAGTGTAGATTGTAAGAACAACTTCTAAAACAGTGTCAGATATCAGTTACCAGTGTAGATTGTAAGAACAACTTCTAAAACAGTGTCAGATATCAGTTACCAGTGTAGATTGTAATGATAACTTCTGAAAATGCCAAATAACAGTTATGTGTACAGGATAACTTGTTAAACAGTGCCAAATTATTACCAGTGTATTGTGTACAGAACAATATCTAAATCCACATTTCAAAAACAGTGCCCATTAACAGTTATTAACGACACTTCCTACTCTCTAGGGTCACTTACGTCAATTAAATTATAACCTCGTTTTTGATAAATGTATGTAATAACAATTATAACGAATAACACCAACTTATTCCATCATATAAGATGACAGACATTACTCTAGAGTCAGTGTGGCCGACATCTACTTCAGCTCTGCTGGATTAAGAAGACAATGAGTATACTGAAACATCATTGCTATAATACAGCCATAGTTGCGTATTCTTTACCGGACGTTGCAGAACCAACCCCAGCATTTCTTGGCTGCCGTGGCCTCTCCGGTAAAATTTACTTCCAGTAGTTTGCCATTGCTTTCTGGACGGTGGTTTTCTCGATACCACTGTCGAAACCAACGCAATGTGCAAGGCCTGCAGCTGGGATCGAACCCAACACCCCGACATTACGAAGCGCGTTCGCAATGAATAAGCCACAGACGCCTACAATACACCATTCCCGTGATTCCCAAACTTTTCTTAGTCGCGGTGCATTTCTTTATTACAATTTTCCACGGCGCCCTAACCTGAGTAAAAGTATAAATATTCTAATGTAAGAGATTTTTTAAAAAAAGTTGTTTATCTTCGAATATTTCTCGACTGCCCGGGGCGCTGGGTGCACAGTTTGGAAATCACTGAACAATACCTTAGGTAAATGCAGTGAAAATTGCTGGTGGGTTAATACACAGAGATTAGACCAGTAAGGTAGATTAGCACTTGACTATTATTCATTACATCATTTCTTTTTCTGCTTTTTGTTTTGTTGTTATTATCATCTATTCGAGTGACAAAATTGTCTGTTTACATCATAGCTGCCTTTCGACAGACGCATCCGATTGCATCCGGTATTTATTTTCCGGGTTACCCTTCCCGGTTAGTTTCATGAGACATTGTACAACCTCGTCGTGTTATCATATTTGCTGTCTAGCCTGCGTCTGGTTCTTTCCCCCTCCACCTCCATTTTCCCCAGGGAACTGTTCTAAGGCACCCGTGTACATCCTGGTAGATCCCCAAAGAACATGGGTTAGTTTCCCCCCCCCCCCCCCACTCCCTTTATTCACCCAATCCAAGGTGGCTTCCGTAAATGTAAAGCGGAAACATGCTACTGAACATACCAAGGATTCGTCAAATCCTGGACATAACTGTTTTACTTTGAACGAACGAACTTTATTTC